GTCGAGACCAAGACGAGACCAAGACCACGTAAAAGTGGTCTCGAGACCGGTCTCGAGACCAAGACCGGTCATAGCTAGAGTTGGTCATAGACCAACTCTAGCTATGTGATCGCTAGCGATACAGCTATGTTAGTGTGAGGGCACATGCATATAACTTGTGGAAAACTGTCACGTAGGGCCTTTAGCGGCCTGTCTGAATAAGCCAAGAGGAAGTGACATATTGAGGAGAGCCTGTGGGCGCGCAAAAAAAAAAAAAACAGGGAGGTGCGCTGTTGGGAGCGAGCGGGGTGTGCGGTACTGATCCCGCGCGTGCCATTACAGCGGAAGACACCAGGAAAACCCCGCGGTCAGAACAAACCTGAACGAAGACTAACCGGGAGGTTAGTGGGGCAACGGACGGGATTGCAGCGAGTTTATGTGGAGTTTCCCTCCGTGTGTGGAATCCGACTCAGGTTACAGCAGTTTTTTTTTTTTTGTTTTTTTTTTGTGAACCCGAGTCTGGATATCCTGCTCCGGCTGTGGAATTTCTGGGCAGCCTAACAGACGGGAACTCTGGTTCACGACAGCTACATCTAGAACTGTTTATTGGTTTCAGATACCAGGGACAATTCACTGGATCGGAATTTACTGTAAAGACTGGAACTATTTTTTTTTTTTTTTTTTTTTTTTTTTTTTTGCTGTTTGGACATTGCAAGTAATGTGATGAAGCTGTGTTAACCATTCTAGATAAGCGAATTTCTGTGTTAACCTGAATTGTTCTGCTGTATTGTGATCTTGGCGCCCTTTTCCGGTGGCTAGTGTGGTGGGAGGGGTCGAGAACTCGAAACATTGGGTTACAACAGCCTGTTTGATTTATTTTATTTTACTCTTGGGGAGTTTCCTTACTGTCGCCCTTTGTCTCCAGGACACTGTTAACATCTATAATCAATCTTGGTTCACGAGGGCCATCCGAAAAAAATAAAAGGGGCCACGTTGTTTAAAAAGTCATTGTATACTTCTGTCTAACTTACCGGTAGGTTGCCTTGGAGTAGGGGCACCCGAGTTGTCTGGTTAGGTACAGAAAAACGGAGGTAAGCGAGGCTGTGTTAATATTCAACAGTACAGTGCGCGCCAGGCAGTCGTTGTTTCGCAGGTTTGGGCCCCGGAGCCTTCTTCTGTGCCTGTAGCAGCCAGACAGCTAAAACCCGTGCACCTTATGATATATATATATATATATATATATATATATGATAAAACGCTAAAATCCATCAATATCTGCGGTGCCTTCTGATACAGAAAAATAAAACAGGAAACAAACAAAATCGACAGCCTCACCAGTCACAGTCTGTCGAATTACCATCTTTATCCGGTGCCGGGTCGCGGGGGCAGCAGCCTAAGCAGAGAAGCCCAGACCTCCCTCTCCCCAGCCACCTC